TGGGGTGGGTGTTGCTTACTCAGGGCCTGGAGCACAGGTTGCTCCACTGCAGGCCCAGTGCTTACTCAGGCCCCTCCCTTCTCCCTGCCCGTTCCCTTCCTATACTCTACTCTTCCTCCTTCTGTCCACTTGTCAGTTTATTGATTGGAGCGTTGTAGGTTACACAAAGATCAATGCACTGTGGTATATTTACACAGCACAACTTGGGCGATTTCATTGTGAGGTTCCTCCCTTTTTCCATCCCCTTTCCATCCCCTTCTCTCTCAACCTCTTCCTCTGCTCCATTAAACTCTCTTCTGTTTTCACAGTGTTGCCCCCTTTTCCCCTGACTTTGCTCTAGTTTCTGCAAATGAGAGAGAATATCTAACTTTTCCTAAAACTGACTCCTTTCACTCAGCATAAAGTTCTGCAGTTTCCTCCATTTATCAGCCAATGCCATAAGTCCACTCCTATGGCTGAGTGAAACTCCACTGCGGACATGGAGCACATTTTCTTTATGAATTCATCTGCTGACAGGCACCTGGGCTGGTTCTGTATCCTAAACACTGCTGTAGACATTGCAGTGACTGTTTCACTATAGAATCGCCAATTTGAGTTCTTATGGATAAATGCCAAGGAGTGGTATAGCTGGAGCAGATGGTGGTTCCACTCCTAGTCTTTTGAGGAATCTCCATACAGCTTTCCAAATGGATGTGCTAATTTCCAGCTCCACTAAGAACATATGTGTGCATTTTCCCCCACATTCTTGCCCATATGTGTTATTACTTGTATTCTGGATTGCAATTCTGACTGCAGTGAGATGAAACCTCGATGTATTTTTGATTTACATTTCCCTGATTTCTACAGATGTTGAGATTTTTAAAATGTACTTGTTGGACATTTGCATTTCTTCTTTTGTGCTATTTCTGTTTAATTTTATTTTCCTATTTATTGTGGCTTTTTCTTTTGTTGTTATTATTTCAGTTTTTTATACATTCTGGATATTAGTTCCCTGTCAGTGTAGCAGCTGGAAAATATTCTCTCCCATTCTGTAGGAGCTCTATTCACACGGTTAGATGTTTCCTTTGCTGTGAAGAAGCTTTTTAATTTGATGCCATCCCACTTATTGATTCTTGGTTTTATTTCTTGAGTTTTAGGAGTCTTTGTAAGGAAGTTGGTGCATCTGCCAGTACATTGGAGTGTGAGCCCATGTTTTCTTTTAGCAACTGCAGTGCTTCTAGCCCAGTTCCTAGGTCTTGGATTCTCCTTGAGTTGACTTTTGTGTGGGGTGAAAGATAGGAATCTGGGTTCCTTTGTCTACATATGGATATCCAGTTTTCCTAGACCTTTTGTTAAAAGGCTCTCTTTTCTCCATCACGTTTCTGGCACTTTGTTGAGTGTCAGATGTCTGTATTGATGTGGGTCTGCCGTTGCATCTTCCATTCTATTCCACTGGTCTTGGTGTCTGATTTGATGCCAATACTCATGTTGTTTTTGTTACTTTATCTCTGTAGTAGAATTTGAGATCAGGTACTGTGATGCCCCTGGCTTGGCTCTTCTTGCTCAGTAATGCTTTGACTATTCTCAGTCTTTTATTCTTCCAAATGAGTTTTAGGATTGTTACCCTAGTTCTGTGAGGAATGTTATTGGT